CAGCAACCCTACTATCATCATCGTGTCTACCGTTGTCGACGTTGCCATGAATCCGCGCCCGCCACATCGCAAACTCGCAGTGAAGTGCCCGCTGGGATGCGCCCAGCGCTCAGCGCCACATCGGCAGCGTCCGTCGCGCCAAACTAGCTGGCCGATGCGCGTGCGTGCTTGGTTCGGCGCGGCCGCAGAGATGCACCGGCCAACGCGAAGCACGCGTCGCAATCGCCACCGCATGGGTTTTGCAAACCAAGTAGCGGGTGGGTGGGTGGGATAGTTGCAAGAGCATGGGATGTGTCAACGCGTTTGTTATAATCAGTTCTCCTTTCTAAAAAGAGAATACCCTCTACCCCCCCCCCCGGCGTTATCGCCCCCCCTTTTCGGGTATGTAATTCATATATGATTCTGACCACATGTCCATCCTAAATATGAAATCACCATGTCCAGGCCAACGGGGTTCGACCCCCCCTGGGGTTCCTTTTTTGTTTTTTTTTTTTTTTTAAAAAAAAAAAAAAAAAAAAAAAAAAAAAAAAAAAAAAAAAAAAAAAATGCGGTGGCATTTGTTGTTCTAACATAAGAGTTGTCCGCGAATCCCTTGCAACAAATGGGACGAAATGCACACGCGCGCGTCGTCGCGCGCGCACGCCGAAATCCTTCAAAAACCTTCCGTGTCGGAAGGATTTGGCAATCGAGCTCCCCCAAAAAAACATACATTAGCATGGCGAAGGACCCAACCATATGCAGTTGAGAGTACCGCAATTGTGAATATATTCTTCGGTGGCGCTCCCTATGGGGCCACGAGCCGTATGAGGGGTGTGCCGAAATGCGTGGCAGTGTACACAACACGAACGAAGACGATAGGTCCGAATATGAAAGCTTGAGCGCGTGCGAGTCGGATCGCGAGCGAGTCTGATTATGAATGAATCTGCGCGCGATTGATTCTATTCGCATGAATGCGTGCATGGATACGCCCAGTGTAAATGTATGTATACGACTGTGAACAGTTTGGGTCTGCGTGACTCTCGGTACTCGTGACTCTGAGCGTCGCCTCTGCAGGGGGCTTCCCTGGGAACCCCGACGGCAGCGCCCGCGCGCCGCGACGCCCATGTCGGCACGCCACACACCTGGTGTGCGGGACGCATGCGGACGGCAGCACTGGGGCCTTCGGTGGAGCTCCCTGTGGGGCCACGAAACGTGTGAGGGGTGTGCCGAAATGGGTGTGCGGGACGCATGCGGACGGCAGCCATGGGGCCTTCGGTGGAGCTCCCTATGGGGCCACGAAACGTGTGAGGGGTGTGCCTGTGCGGGACGCATGCGAAACGTGTGAGGGGTGTGCCGAAATGGGTGTGCGGGACGCATGCGGGCACACCCACTGGGCCTTCGGTGGAGCTCCCTATGGGGCCACGAAACGTGTGAGGGGTGTGCCGAAATGGTGTGCGGGACGCATGCGGACGGCAGCCACTGGGGCCTTCGGTGGAGCTCCCTATGGGGCCACGAAACGTGTGAGGGGTGTGCCGAAATGGGTGTGCGGGACGCATGCGGACGGCAGCACTGGGGCCTTCGGTGGAGCTCCCTGTGGGGCCACGAAACGTGTGAGGGGTGTGCCGAAATGGGTGTGCGGGACGCATGCGGACGGCAGCCATGGGGCCTTCGGTGGAGCTCCCTATGGGGCCACGAAACGTGTGAGGGGTGTGCCGAAATGGGTGTGCGGGACGCATGCGGACGGCAGCACTGGGGCCTTCGGTGGAGCTCCCTGTGGGGCCACGAAACGTGTGAGGGGTGTGCCGAAATGGGTGTGCGGGACGCATGCGGACGGCAGCCATGGGGCCTTCGGTGGAGCTCCCTATGGGGCCACGAAACGTGTGAGGGGTGTGCCGAAATGGGTGTGCGGGACGCATGCGGACGGCAGCCATGGGGCCTTCGGTGGAGCTCCCTATGGGGCCACGAAACGTGTGAGGGGTGTGCCGAAATGGGTGTGCGGGACGCATGCGGACGGCAGCACTGGGGCCTTCGGTGGAGCTCCCTGTGGGGCCACGAAACGTGTGAGGGGTGTGCCGAAATGGGTGTGCGGGACGCATGCGGACGGCAGCACTGGGGCCTTCGGTGGAGCTCCCTGTGGGGCCACGAAACGTGTGAGGGGTGTGCCGAAATGGGTGTGCGGGACGCATGCGGACGGCAGCCATGGGGCCTTCGGTGGAGCTCCCTATGGGGCCACGAAACGTGTGAGGGGTGTGCCGAAATGGGTGTGCGGGACGCATGCGGACGGCAGCACTGGGGCCTTCGGTGGAGCTCCCTGTGGGGCCACGAAACGTGTGAGGGGTGTGCCGAAATGGGTGTGCGGGACGCATGCGGACGGCAGCACTGGGGCCTTCGGTGGAGCTCCCTGTGGGGCCACGAAACGTGTGAGGGGTGTGCCGAAATGGGTGTGCGGGACGCATGCGGACGGCAGCCATGGGGCCTTCGGTGGAGCTCCCTATGGGGCCACGAAACGTGTGAGGGGTGTGCCGAAATGGGTGTGCGGGACGCATGCGGACGGCAGCAGTGGGGCTTTCGGTGGAGCTCCCTATGGGGCTACGAAACGCTGTACTGGGTGGGTGAAACGCAGGGAAGAGGGGGAGGAGAGAGGAGGCGGAGGAGGAGGAAGGAGGAAGGAGACGCGGGCACCCTCTCTTCAAAACGAGGACCCAACACCACAGGATGGTTGGGAAAAAAGTAAAGGGTTTCGCAACATTGAGTTGCTAAACAAGCTTACGCGCGAGCTCTTGCGAAATCTTGGGAAAACTGTAGGTGTTCTAGATTTCCACGACATGCTACCAAACGGGCTTCGCGCGCGCGCTCATGTCGAAATCTGTCGAACGCCCTTGCGCGTGTGCCGTCGCGAGAATCCTCTGCAAAAAACGGGACGAAGTGCAGACGCGCGCGTCGTCGCGCGCGTATGCCGAAATCCTTCAAAACCCATCGGGTTCGGAAGGATTTCAAAATCGTGTGTCCACAAACCCTACAAAAACACAAGGTTTCGCAACACGGATTTGCAACAAAAGCGTGCGCGCGCGCTCTTGCATCGTCGTCGTCGTCGTCGCCGTTCTCCCTCCTCCCGCGTCGTCGTCGTCGTCATCGCGAACGTTGTCCTCTGTCTTTCCTCGTGTTCGTCGTCGTCGTCCTCTTTGGCGTCGTGGTCGTTTCCGTCGTCGTTGTCGCCGTGGTCGCCCTTCCTCCTCCTCCCTCGTCGTCGTCGTCCGTCGTCGGCGTCTCGTCGTCGTCCCTCCTATTTCGTCACCCTCGTCGTCGTCGTCGTTGTTGTCGTCGTCGTCGTCGTTGTTGTCGTCGTCGTCGTCTTCCCTCCTCCCTCGTTGTCGTCGTCGGCGTCGCCGTCATTCCTCCGTCTTCGTCGTTCGCGTCGTCGCCGTCCTCCCTCCACCCTCGTTGTTGTCGTCGTTGTCGTCGTTGTCGCCGTCGTCGGCCTTTGGCGACGTCGTCGTCGTTTTCGTCGTCGGCGTCGGCGTCGTCGTCGTCGTCGACGTCGGCGTCGTCGTCGTCGCCGTCGTCGTCGCCGTCGTCGTCGGCGTCGGTGTCGCTGCCAAGTGCCATTTGGTACCTACCGTCACGGTCTCAAGAGGTTTTGCAAACAAAGTAGCGGGTGGGTGGGCGGGATGGTTGCAAGAGAATGGGATGTGTCAAATCATGGGTAAAAGTCATTTGCACCACATAGATTGCACCGCATAGACTGAACAATGTGAGTTGCGCCACAGATGCTGCACAACATCGACTGCTAGAAACACACTCTTTGGGATCCACTCTGGCTATTGCTGCTAGCATCTTTGGGCAATTGGATGGGCGGCCCTGGGCGCCTCGCGGGCGCCCCGTGAGCTGGCTGGGTTTTTGCCGAGGTTTCGTTGGGTGGGCGGCCGTGGGTGCCTTGTGGGCGCCCCGTGCGCTGCTCGAGTCCGCTGAGGTTTCGCCTGGGGGGCGGCCGTGGGTGCCTTGTGGGCGCCCCGTGTGAAGGTGCCCTGTGGGCGGCCGTGGGTGCCTCGTGGGCGTCCCGTGTGAAGGTGCCTTGTGGGTACCTTGTGGGCGGCCGTGGGTGCCTTGTGGGCGCCCCGTGTGAAAGGCTGGGTTTGCCGAGGTTCCGCCTGGTGGAACTGAACTGGCGCTACAAGACGAGGCGCCAGGAGAAGCAGCAGTGGAACATGAGCCGAGATCGGAATATGACATCTGAGCTAGAAGTTTCGGGATTAGAGTATGAGCTTGATTCGAAACTGGCGGAACCAGGACCAGGGCTGGAATTTGAAGCAGACTGGAAGCTAGAGTTCGAGTAGGAACCGTTCTCAGCAGATCCAGACCCGGGTATCGAATTTGGTTTGATTTGAAACGAATTCAGGGGCAAAATTGCGGCTCGAACAGGTAACCTTACTAGAAAATTCCGAGTTTGGAGCAGAAGCAAAACCCAAACAGTTTTCAACCCCTTCAGGCACTTCACGGAAGGGCGTTCCGACGGCCCCGTGACGGCTTAGCCATCGTTCGAAGTATTGAATGTCACTACTCACGTTTTCTCGCGAGCCTGGGGGTCGAGATTGACGCGGAGTTCGGTACATGCAGCGCGCTCCTTTTTCCGAGCCAGATGATCAGCACGTTGAGTGTTAGTCCGATAATAACGGTCAATCGGCAAGTCACAGTTCGACAAGGTCGATCGATTGATACGGTGATCGATTGGATATGGAAGACCACTGATAGTATCCAAACGATGTCCGGAAGTGTGGCTGCTGATCAGATGGTTGATTCGGCGTTTGTCAGTGAGCGTCTTGCCGATCAGTGGTGGAAGGCGCGAGTCGGGCTCGATCCGCAAAACCGCGAGGTGAGCAGGGAAGCGTGGGCTGCATCGGACCAGCGAAGCCACCGTTGCTTGAAATGATCGTGCCTCGTCCTCGGGGCCGAAGTGGGGTTTCGACCGTGCGCGCGCCTGCCTTCCGCTGCTGCCGGGGGCCCCTGCTGGCCGTTCCCCGCAGGGGCCCCTGCTGACTTCGGGAGACTCTGCCCGCAGTCGCCCTGGGCATCGGGGCCGGCTGTCGCCCATCGGGCGACGCCCACGCGGTCCAACCTTTGGTTGCCTCGCGTGCGGAGCCCTTGCTTGCTCTCGGTGTCGAGTTCGGCCGTTGCTCGTGGGGTTCCGCCCACACAGTCCCGTCCTTCATCGTCGCCCAATACCAGCGCATGTGGCACCCAGTCGGTAAAGACACGACGTTCGGTGGGGGGCCCACGATTTGGCATATCATTGTGAATGAATTTGTAGATTGCCACGCGATTCGTTGATCCAGCTGGATTGTCCAAAGCCCCGCAGGACTGGTCCCAACCTACATGGTGCACCGCCACCGGGCCCACGGCAACTACATCGACGCGAGGTGCATCTACGTCATCCACAACCTTGGGTACCAGGGCATCAGCCCCCTTAAGGCAAGAGCCATGCTTCTTTGTTCACCGAGCGCGTTCCACTACTCGCAGAGTGCCTACTCGCAAACGTCCGAACAAAAATGTTTGCCCCGCGGCGGATCCAGGCCATTTGCGAGCAATTACTTTGCGAGTTTCGGAACGCGCTTGCCTCGTTGTGGAGACGGGAGTCGCCAAGATGTGTATGGAATGAGGGGCAGGAGACGACACACGTTGGGCAACGCTTCTGTTGCACCGCTTTTCTCGGCGAGGAGCCCGCGGGGGGAAGTGAGAAAGAGGAGACCTTCTCGGAAGGCTCGGAAGTCCCCCGGCCTTCTCAGAAGTTTTCTGATCCTTCCGAAAATACACAGAAAATTGTTCAGAAGGCGCGAGGGCGTCCGAGAAGTCCCGCCGCCTTCTGATAAGGGCTTCTCCTTCTCACTTCCCCCCTCGCTCGCCGCCGATCTTCTGTGGCAGACGTTGTCCGGTTTTTCTGCGTTCGGTGGAGCTCCCGACCCCAGATTGTGTGCACCGTTGCACGATGTCGCTTGCAATTGCACCCCTTTCTCCTTCTGCCCGCCAGCCCTCCCAGTGGCGGCTCGTTGCCCGCGACCCGCATGGTTCCAGCAAGAATGGCATCGGGGGTCGATACCAGAGCGCGGCAAACCGGTGGAGGTGATTTCAAGGGCATCCGGCTCCCAACAAGCCGCCGTCGCTAGCGCTCGCGCAGCTCGGGCCCAGACCTCTGCGCTCCCCATTTTCCGCGTTCTCCCGCTAAGGATGGCGACTTCAACAATTTTAACCAGCTGGGTCTCCCGCACGAGGCCTTCAACGACATCCTCTTCGTGTACCCTCCAGAGCAGCGGCCGGGAGGGAGGCAACTGCCCGTCCGACTCCTCGCTTCGAGCAAGGGTTTGTTTTCGATTCGCAGTTGGTCCCCTTCCTCGCGCCCACGTGCCCTGCAGCGACGCTCCTGCTCACCTCGGCCACGCGCAGAGGGGGGTAGGGGGAGGGGGGAAGGCTTCTTAGAAGCACCCCTGCTTCTTAGAAGTGCTGGCCTTGTCTGTAGATGCAAGGCCGCCGCCTTCTAAGAAGCGGCTTGCTTCTAAGAAGCCTTCCCCTTCCCCCCACCCTACACCTTTGTATTCCCCTCTCGGGAGGATGGGTCGGTCGGAGTCTGCCGCCCTGGGCGGCCGATCGGGCCAGCGGGGGCGCGGCTGCGGGGATCCCTCGAGCGGCAGGGGAAGCGAGTACGTGAGAGAGATTTGTTTCCTTTCTGCTCTTTCTCTCGCTCTCGCTCTCTCTCTCTCTCTCTCTCTTTCTCTCTCTTCCTCTCTCTCTCGCTTTTTCTCTCTCTCTCTCTCTCTCTCTCTTTCTCCCGGTTTCTCTACCCCGTCTTTTGCCTCAGTCGCTTAGCGCTGGGGGGGGGATTGTTTCAACATGCCCTGTTCCCCAAGGTGTGCACCACCGCCAAGAGTGCGATGGCGACCTAGGCTACCGCAGTAGACGGCTGTAGACGGGACTCCCGTTGTTTGTCCGATCTCTCTCTCTCTCTCTCTCGCTCTTTCCCTCACTGTCCCTCTCCGGACAGATGGCGGGGCAGGAAGAACCAGTACGAGACCGGCGAGGTGGTCAATCTGACGAAGGCCGCTCCTCTTTTGGGGTAATATCCTTGCCGCCGCGGCTGGGATCCTCACGCGACAATTGTTGCCCTTGTCGGTCGCGCTGGGGCGGCAGGAGGTGGGGGGTTCTGATTTGCGCAGCGGCGGCGGCCGTCTCCTTCTGGAGAGGGTCAGCCCGGCGCTGTGGCGCGCTCACCGACAGACATTGATTGCGGATGGCGGTTGCAGCTCGCCTTCGGCAATTGTCAGCCGCGCACAAGGGGGTACGTAGGGGGAGGGGGGAAGGCTTCTTAGAAGCACCCCTGCTTCTTAGAGGCGCTGGCCTTGTATGTAGATGCAAGGCCGCCGCCTTCTAAGAAGCGGCTTGCTTCTAAGAAGCCTTCCCCCTCCCCCTACCCCCGCGCGCGCGCCGCCAACGTGTGGCACAGGCTGGAGAGACAATGCATCACGCATGCGACGGCTTCTCTGCGAACTTGTCCGAGCCAGGCGAAAGCCGACACCACGGCGTACGGGCCCCTGCCCCGCCCGCGCTGACCCTCGAGGGTCCGACTCCTGCGGGTCTGCGAGCTTCGCTTCGCTTCGCACTGCGCCGAGGCGCCAACGGTTGCTCTGTCCCCTCGAGGTGGCACGCGCGCGGGGCCGCGGGCGGCCAGCGCGGCCTCCAGACCTCCCACGATCAAGACGTTGCAAGAGGGCCCACATTTGGTTTAACTCGGGCCTGTGCCTCTATAGGGGGAATATTCAAAAAGAGTCAAAAAAATAGTCCGGGGACGATGTGTTTACTATTTTTGCTCATTCGGGACGTATGTTTTGAGAATTGTTTTTCTTTCCATTTTTCACCCAAAATCCTCCTGTAGGGGGACACGCCCGACTTAACATTTGGGCTCAGGAGTGGCGCTGATACGGTTGAAGGAAACAGCGTTGCAGCAACATCGCCGGAATCAGAAACTGCAGCCAAATTCCCCCCTCCATCCCCTGGCCTTCCCGCTGGCAGGCATTGCGTTCGACGTGCTGTGTTCTGGCTCGTCTCTGCCCAGATTCTCTGGGAACGCTCGTTCACTATAAAAGCCGGGGGGCGGAGGGGGGTCACGCGAAGTGGTTCTTCGACGTGTGTTGCGAAGTTGTTTCCCTCAACGGTACGCTCTTGGGTTTTATGCGTATCCCTCCATGTTCCATTCCTGACGCCCTCGGTGGACAGAGCGACGAGTGGATCGGCAAGATTATCGTCGCGCCTTCCTTTTCGCCTGTTCATCCTCCTTTTCCTCCTTCTCATCCTCCTCCCTCCTCCTCCTCCACCTCCTCCTCCTCTTCCTCCTCCTCCTCCTCCTCCTCCTCCTCCTCCTCCTCCTCCTCCTCCTCCTCCTCCTCCCTTTTGAGTTGTCCAAACCTAAGTCAGCGATGGTGGCGTTCTTGGAAAGAACAAAGAGTAACATGTACACGGCTCGGCGCAAAGGGTATTTGGCGGGCGCCGCAGAAAAGGTGGGAACACGAGGCCGCGTTAAGAATACTAAGAGCAGCAAGCGCCCGCCAGATTGTGCAGCATGCAATTTCGCATTATAGACCCCAGAACAACAATAATAATAATAATAATAATAATGTGAACAGAGATCTTACTCAGTTTTGTAGGTACGTGCTGTCAGGACAGGTGCAAGCTGGCAAGACAGGTGGGCAGACTGCTCACCTGTCCGCTAGCAGTGTACAAACATGTGCGTGAGCTGCAGCCGTCGATGTATATGGCTGGCAGCAGATGGGTGAGGAGTGCACAGTGCTGAGATCGTGACGGCTGGCCTGGGTAGGCTGGCCTGCTGAAAAGGAGGATCGCAAGTATATTCATCAGGTCAAACTGTCAGAGACGTGGCAGGGTCCCCATCTCCTTCGTCAGAGTAGCTAGGACAATAAGTGAATTAATGGAAGTAAGAGAAGTAAGGAGAGAGGTAGGAGGGGAAACTGTCTGCTTGCAAGTACGTGAGTTGCAGCCGTAGAGCGAAAGACGTCCCGTCCATCCCCGACCTCAAAAGCCCGCCCAGCTCCTTCCCTGATGTATAGTACGGCTGGCATAGATGAGTGCATACAGCTGAGGTGGTGGCTGGCCTGGGTATGCTGGCCTGTTGCGAAAGGATGGACTGCAAGTGTGGCTGCGCCGATTCCGCAGGCAAAAAAAATACAAGAGACTTGACAGAGTCCACCGTCTTCCTCTGAGCTGCTAGGAGTACCCTCATAGGCTGTATAGCCAGGTGAGAGAGATAGACAGGTGCAGCAAAGAAGCTCACCAGGTGGATTCAGCGCGGGCTGCCGCCATAAGGGGGGGGGGAGGTCAGACATCTGGGAGGAAAGTAGGGAGGAGTGTAGATATGTAAAAAGGCACCAGTGTCAAGGGTACGCTTCTTGGGTTTTCGCCCAGGGTTTCGCGGTTCACCCCAAGCTTCTTTGGTCCCAGGACGTCCGTGCGTGGTGTCTGTTTTTTTTTTCTGGGTAAGCACGAACCCACAGTACTCAAGTGTGCTTGACGGCTGGCCTGCAAGGTTTGCTTGTTTGGCGGAGCTCGCCCTGCCTTGCAGGCTAGGGGTCCCGAAATGAGGCCTTGGGGTGGCAGCCAGGATGTCAGCACTCTGTTCCATACTCGCTAAGAACTGTATAATGGGCTTCGGCGTGCAGAATAGTGCGGCAAGTGTAAGTGTTGTAGGCTGGCTTGTGTAGGCTGGCCTGTAGTCCTAAGATGCACGAGTGATGGCACATGGTGAGGCAGCAGATGTGGTACAGGCTGAATGGAGCACAAAAAGAACACAGCCTGCGCAGATACAGGCTTGGCGTGTGCACTGGGCGGAGAGACTGCCTGTAAGCGTGTCCGTGCTATCCTGCAGGTAACTCGATAAGTGGGGTCACGCCCTGGATGGGAATTCCAAATGTGTAGGCACGGCGGACTGGTGGGTAAAGAAAGTAAAGAAGAAGGGCATCCTGTATAACAGGGTCCTCCTCCTCCCACTCCTCCATCTCGCAGCAACTTCCACCTCCCGACGAGTGCTGCCATCGGAATGCAAGAGTAGATCATAGAGAAGCAAGCGTAGGCTGGCCATGGGTGTAGCGTTAGCCCTGGAAAACCGTGCCGTTGTTGCTGGGGCAGTCTAAGTATTGTGTCGTTCGAATTGCCCCCAAAACCACAGCCAGTGTAGATACAGGCTTGCAGTGGGCAGTCCGTAGCTATAAGAAGTAGCTTCTGACGCACGAAATAGCATAGCCTGTCTTATACAGGCTTGCCGACATGTAGGCGTATGTTGACTTTGTGAGCAGCTGGGCCTGCAGACAAAAAAGCTGGTATCGTGAACTGGCAATTTTAAGGTTGCGACACAGGGTTTTTTGGTTGACCCCAAACCGACGACAGCGATGAGGGAGGGACCACCAGCGTGTCAAGGGAGCGGGAGGATGCAGGCAGCAACAGTGCAATGTTGGTCGGAGAAGACGGAAGGGTAGCGGCCACGGTGTGTATGCACTATCTGGCTCTGAGTAATGTACCAGCATGTTATGATGAAAGCAAAAAGTCTCAGTAGATTTTGTTCCGCGGTAATTGAAGAGCTGCAAGTACATGTGGTGGAAGTCGTGGTATGCTCCTCCCTCCCCTTCATCCTCCTCCTCCTTCTCCTCCTCCTCCTCCGCCTCCCCCCCCCATCTCTCCAATAGAATCCGAGTCGCTTACTGAAGAAAAATAAAGGGCTCAGGAAGGGCTCGGGTTGTCCGGCCGCTCATGAAATCTAGGTCGGGGAATATATCCGTGACCGAGGTTCGCCGTGGCCTTAAAAAGCCCCCCTTCGTTCCTCAGTCAGCGTTCCCCGAGATCCCACGGGCGCGAAAAAAAAACATCCACAAAAATCACGACCAGAGCCCCAGACCTTACTTGGCTGCGGCAGGTTTTCATGACGGATCAACCCGCGATGGTCCTGGGGCTTGAAAGCGGACGAAAATTCTTAGTGAGAAAAAAAGGCAAACACCAGGATCTCAGGGTTCATTATTGTAATACGGTGGCTGTACGGCACCAAGGGCACTCTCGCGGATTGGCGCCAGAGGGTCCAGAGTCCCCAGCCAGAGCTTCACGAGCCGATGACATTGGGGGTCCCACAACCACGGTGACCTCGAAATCACCAGAGACCTCACCGCGCGGTCCGTCACCGCACGGTCTTGGGACCTCGGAGGCTCGAGTCGCCCGAGACGTCCTCGCAGAACGACCCGAGTCCCAAAACTGTGTTGCGACCCCGAGTCTTCACTGACTCACCACGCGGTGTGGTCACTACACCGCCCGGGGGCCCCCGAATACCATCCTCCCTCGTTGCGCTGGACGGTCTGGCCTTCGACGGCTGGGCCTGCCAGGACAGCCCTGTTAGGCCACCTCGTGGGCTCTCCGCGGCGGGGCCGATGAGAATCGGTCGGCGGCGCGCCCAGTGGAGAGAGCAGAGGGGCTGGGCCTCTCCCAGGAAGCTCGGGATGTCTCCGGCCTTCTGAGAAGCTCCCGAAGCCTTCTCCGAGAACAGAGGCGGCTTCTCGGAAGGCTGGCGGCTTCCCAGAAGGCCAGAGGGCTTCTGAGAAGCCCAGGCCGCCTTCTAGGAAGGCATGCCCCCTCTCACTTCACCCTTCGGCGCGCCGCCGAGTTGGGACGGTCAACCGACGCCGAGCTTCCCCGTCCCACTTTTACTGCTTGCCGCCCGCACCCAGCACAGGCTTCCCCCCCTCTTGTCGTCAAAAGCTGGTACACCGAGGGGCCGTTCCTGTGGAGTCGGGCTTCAGTTTACTTTCGGTACGCCTCGTCCAGACAAGCTCAACATTTGCCAGGGCACAAGTCAAGAGGTCGACAGTTGCATTCGAATGCCTGGTGACTGTACGGCACCACGGGCACCGGCGGAGTGGCGCCAGAAGGTCCAGACTCTCCGGCCAAAGCTTCGCTACTCTCCCCGTCATCCACGCCGTCATCCTCGTCATCGGCCGCCTTGTCGTCGCCCTCTTCTCTTTCTTGGTTTACGTTCGAGCCTAACGGACAA